TATACAGACAGGATTTCATAGCAGAATGTATATTTTTACTATTAATCGAACTATACACAAAAAGCAATTAAGTTTGATATGGACACACGAAAAGCAACTAAAGGTTACAATGTTATTTATTTAATTTTGAAATGTTAATTGAAGCTAATTTTAAGTTTTAGACATTAATTTTGTGAATTAATCAAGATTTGAAATTTATTTATGCAACATAACGAATGTTTGAATTACGAAAAAGACGATGTTTTTTTAGCTTAATAACAACTTAAGAAACTATGACTCATTTTTTATTTTTAAAACTCAGCAATTCATTCTGAGGAGTAGTTTTGTTGGCTATATATATTTTAATTTCTTAAAATATTCATTTCAATATTTTCAGGATTCTGCTGTTATTTTCTGACATGATGCAAGTTTGTTTGTTCTAGCGTTTTTCACTTACAGATTAGAAATATTTGAAGAAGAGTATTTGTTAAACATTCCTGCATAACTTCACAAAGGAATAAAAAAATTGTGACAACGGGATAGACATGAACTATTCTAAAGCGTAAGTGTTTCACCAAAGCTACTCAAAGTTTGCTATGGGCCTTGAACTTTTTATTTATATTAGAATGCCGAGATTAACTTCTTGTATGCAGTGACGCTTCGATAAACTGATAATTAGCTAAAATACTATGCACTGACTGTACGGCTGTACAAATATAATTAGAGAGTGTAACTTGCTTTAAGTTTACATACAGTGGAAGATGAAATACGAACAGGCTCAACGTAAGATGTATTTTATTTGCACCTTTTTCATTCTAAAATTTTTGTTATACATTACAGGAATTTTTGGCCATTATCCAGCAGCGCCTACTGAGTCTGCAAAATAATATGATATTGGAATTTGAAAGTACTTTGAAGGTGCTACGTGATTAATAATAATTCATCAATATCCGAAGCAGCCATTTAATTTTTTTCTTTCTTATTTGTCGAAGTGCCTTTCGCGACAGTTTTAAGCTTATTATTTTTGCAAAGAGAGTAAGTATTGAATGTCCTTTAGTTTCATTCTTTCAGTGAATCCATCACAGTTTTAGAATGTCAATCTAAATTACCCATTTGAGTACTGAGTTATTTGAAGATTTTTATGCCCATGGGATGGATTTAATTTATCGATATATAGATTAATATGTAAAAATAATACATTTTATTTGAAATATACTTATATTAGTGATATAAATATATTTTTGAAACAGCATTTTAATTACAAAATATAAATAAATGTATAAATGATACAAAATAGAATATTTATATAGAACAAGAACCAACTTAAAGTCTAATAATTTTGTGTGGTATTTTTCAAAACGTGTTGGTAAGTGCAAAGGTACCAGGCATTGTTTGCATTGCCAAGTGGTTTCTTCCCTTATTTTATGTTTATAACATACGCGACAATAATAAAGATAAGTGGAATTAACCTTATTTGCAACTGTAAGATGTCATAAACAAACTTCAGGCAAGTGTTTGTAATCAACGCAAACATTAACGCCTGCTTCTTAAATTCAGATGACGAGTCAGACTCGTCCACGGTATCTTCGCACAAATAAGCAGATGACGAGCCTCACTCGTCAAATGTACCCAAAGGATACAAATCTCAGACAAATCTCGCAGCCTACAAATCTCATTTAAACTAACCCATTGTGAAACGGAAAAAACTTCTAATGTATGGAGCTCCATTTTCGAATGAATGAAAGATGGACCTTATGTTTAAAGTAACAGACCTTTAGACTGGGAAGTGTAGTTAACAACAATTCTGGCGGAGAAAAGGAGTTAAAAGGAGAAAGGTGGGTAATACAAGGGTTACATAGAGTAGGAAAGTTAAGAACGAAGGAATAAGAAAATATAAACTTAAACATAATAGAATCACAACTTAAGTAGCTGACAATAACTAATTATGCTTTCTCACTTCAAATACAATGCTTTGATTAAGTCGTGAAAAATGTTTTACGTGTTACTCATTTTCTTCATACCCTTTACATTCTATGTCAAAAAGAATCCAAACACCTAGAAAAGTCATCCAACAGTCTCGAAATTTATAATCTGAATAACTTTTAGTCAGACCTGTAAATAATGGAAATGCACAGCCCAGTGAACGCACAAAGAGAAACTAAAGCTCAGGGAAAACACACACCAGGGTAAACTTAATATCAGGTGCAATGTTCGGCATGCTGTGTCAATTCGAACTGTTCGCACTGGCAGGTAAAACCTTCAAAGAAACATCATATACAAACAACTCAATATAAACTGTATTCGTGTAACTACAGCCAAGTAAATGTAATGGATTTGCAAATTTAATGCTAAAGGTAGTGCCTAATGTCCTCATCACATTCCATTATATGATTCTTCAGACGAAACTGTGTGCAAAGAGCTTAAATGTGGGAAATCTGATGGAAAACATGGTAGCAGATTTATAAGATCTAATCAACATTCAGAACCTGGACCTTCGATCAATGGTGTAATTTACTTTTGCCGTGTTCACAGGCTCAGCAGTGTTACACGAAAATCTGTTCACAGACTATAGGTTTTGCTTGAAGAAATACGTTCCTTGTGAAACCAAACAAAAGAATTCAAGTTTTTTTAAGGTGAAAGACTGAGTATTTAAGTCTTCATAGCACATATAAAGCAGATTTTAATAAAAAATTGCAAGAAAGAAGATCAAATTTAACAATAACTTCCTGAATCGGAACCAAAGATATCACTGAAGTGAGATCCAAAAATTTCGAATAAAGATATCGACAAAAGGAATGTAATAAATTACCAAAGCACTTCGAAGTAATTGAAAAACTCGGTTTGTTTATAGGTGCAGTCTATTGCGGCACAGCAGTTGTGGGTTAATTGTCTAAGGAAGGAGTGCTTGGTCGATGATTTTGAAGAGTTAAATTAGGTTAGGTTATTTGAATACGACGAAGTACACGAGCACTAACTGTTCTAGGGAAGGGAAGCCTTCACGGGGGACTAAGACAAACTGTCTCGTATTCACATTACGCACGGGAAAATCTACTAAAATACTCATGCAACTGGATCGTTGATAAGATTTGAACTGGAGACAAATTTCTAATAATCAGAAGTTTATCAACTGCTCATTTGAAAAACTCAATAATTAATTCATTGAACTATTTTAGGATGTTAGGAGACATCAAGATAAAATAAAATTCCTGTCGAAGGCATAATTGATTTTTGTGTCAGGGCTTCAAAAATCTTCTGATTCCTCGAGAAAGTTAAAAAGGAAGGTTAAGAAATTAAACTTTCAAAAATCAATTGATAAGAGAACTGCCTTCAGGAAAATATGTTTTCTTAAAGATATTTTAATCTCACAACTATTTAAAATGAAGATATAAAAAATACATCATATAGCTTTCGATTTCTAGTTTCTAACTGATAAAAAATTAATGCTATTGGATACAGACATTTTAAAGGGTATGTTAGTGTGTGTGTGATTATGGCAAAGCCTCGAGGGCTATCTGCCTAAGAGGAGGGGTGTCTTCGTGGAGGACTTTCTAACGGAAACTGGCTCGTATACACGTTACACATGGGAAAAACCGCGGAAACGCCCATGCAGCCAGCCCGTTCGCGGGATTCGAACCTCGGACCGCTCGGCCGCTGATGGGACAGGGTATGTTAGTCATGTTAGTCTAGGCTAGGAAGCGTCTGATAAACACAGCAGAGCTATCTGCTTGAGGAAAGGGATGCTCAGGTATTTTGAAAATAACCAGATTAGCATTTAAAAGTGTAATAGTTATTAGAGATATAAAAATCTCTTGATATATCATCAAAAATATTTAGCTTTATAAACCACGCTTTTTCAATAATTCTTTTCGCTTAAGCGAAATCAGATCTTTAAAGCTAATTCAGGAATACAGTTTAGTTCGATCACATCTGAATTTGGAAATTATGTTCCAAATATTTTTAACGAAAAAAATCCTTCGAATATCGTTATTTTCTCTACAGAGCATGAATTAAATAATGAGGTACTTTTGAAAAAAATGTTTCAATTTTTTTTTTAATTTTAAAAGCAAAGAATTAATTTGTAAAACTGCTTTAATAGTAATGCAATACTTTCTATATTATTTCAGAATTATTTGTTATTTATCAAAACCGCATATATTTTAGTGTTTTCATTTAAGAATTAAAAATGAGTACGCGAATTATTTTTCTGAATTTTAGAAGTTATGATCACAAATATTATAATAATTATAGTATGATTTAGTAAAGTTAACCTTGTTAAATATAAAAGTATACAGATGCAGTTAGTTTGATTGTATATAGGAGAGCATATTTAATTCTTTGCCTCAGGTGTAAAAATATTCAGGCACGGCTCTGGATTGAAATGTCCTGTTTTCCATCAATAGCTGTGCACTATATAAATATTTAAAACTATTACGCATTAATCCTTTTATAGCATTTATTTTATAAAATCTATGATTAAAAAAAAACGCATTTAAGAGTCATTTAAAAACTGTCTGTATTTAAATTTCGTACGAACATTCATAAAATGTTAAGGCCAGAAAATATATACCATACAGTGCCCTGAACCTTTGCCGCGCCTTCACATTAATGTGAAGATGAAAAATATTGTTAATCAAAGCGCTACGATTATTTTATGTGAATTAAATGCAGTTCATATATTATATTTCCACTACATACCAGCACTGTGTTGCATATAATTTGATATCTAATGATCCATCCTGCAAGCATTCAAAAATTTATATAGCCAAGGATGCTTGAATATTGTCTGAGAACCATTAACCTTAGACACTTTTATTTTGATTTTATTTCTTATAGGCGCGAAGTTCTGCAGTCCAAAGTCATGAGAGGAATATATTTACCGCCTCACGAACTAGGAGGGGTGCGTTATTCGCTAACCGTTCGTACCAGTGACAGGCACGAGTGGCGTATCGTTGTTATTGGGACCTGAGCGGCGGGAAGTCCGGTTTTTCTAAGACGCGATTCATATATTTTGGCGTCAAGTGACTGGCGAGTTTGGCGAGCGGACGCAAGTTCAGTCGGATCGTAGGTTCAGCCACTTAAGGGCTTTAGTGACTCAGATGCGAATGGCTGCGAAAAGTCATTGCGTTGGAAGTCGGGTAAGTTACACAAACTTCTTCGTTTTGCCCCATATGTGAAATAGCTTCAGTAATACTCGAAAGTCTGTTCGCGGTACAAAGTACTTTTAATTAAGTCTGCATACCGCTTTCGGTGCCATGAAGTTACTTTAACAAGTTTCTGAAATTAAACGGATATCATTTGCTTAGTCAAAAAACAACATAAACAGGTTTTAAGTGATGCATGCCTAAGAGTTTTAAACGTTTAGTAATTTAAGGAAAAGCGTAAAGAAAAACAAATGGAAAATCGTAGTTGTCTAAAGTTTTTATCACTTCCATCGCTTATGGAGGTTCATATTATTATTTTATATTAAACAGAGTTAAAAAAAAATACGGAGTTTCTCATTAAATATGTTTTATGTTATCTTATATTTCTCTAATAAACATGCTATTTTTTTTAATAGAGAGGCTAATTCACAGCATACAAACATTAAATATATTTATTAATTAACATGTTTTTCACTGATATTTTTTCTATCTAAAATAGTTTTAAAATAGCTTTAAAGTTAATTGAAAGGTTGATTTTTACGAAAGCGAACCAGCTGCATCTCTTACGAACTTTACGTTTGTTTAAAGCGTAGAATACAATATTTCAGTAGCGTAAACACGGAAAATATATTCAGTGAACCATGATAAGGATTCATTGAAAAGCTTATTATTCAGTAACGGGGAACATTTGTACTTCATAAATATTCATTTAACAGCTATACTGCAGTCCGAATTAATGTACCGTAACAAAAATATTTTCGTGCTTGTGTTATAATATTTATATTTATTTAACATATTCAATGCGCTGTTTTTATCTTTGTATATATTTTTTGTTGCAATGAATGTGTTCGCGAAATCTCACGAAATGCCTACTTAGATTTTTAGCCGTCAGCTGAGGAAAGAAACATTTGTAATAAGTTTTGTGAGAAATGTGTTCATTAAATCATAATAAGATAAAATGAATTAATATGAAAATTGATGTACTTGTAAATATTGAGTAAAATCTGAATACATTTTAGAACATGCCTGCTGCGGTGTATTCGTAGTAATAATTATCATTAACGATGGAATTTTCATAATAAATATTATATTTATAATAAAATTTTATTTTTGCGTTCTAACTTGTAATTTCGTTTTTCGGCTGTAATTTCTGCTAAAGAAGAATTTAACAAAAATTTAGTTGTTACATTCTTAAAATTAACTTGCATTTCGATTAAAATTATAAATATTTGGTTTAATAAATTTGAATAAATCAATATTGAAAGATATCAGACCAAGAGAGAGATAATTTAAAAAATAATTTCTCAACTAAAGAATTTAAAGAACCTCGTTTTCAATTTAAATTGGTATTGACAAAATTCCCTTCCGATCTTATAATACTATAATCGATTCTTAATTCCAAATCATCATATTTTATGCATCTAGACTATTAATTACTTTAGCTTCCAGAGGCTTTAAATAAACAATCCTATTAGTTTGTTTCCCACCATTTGATTTTAATAATCAAAATTTAAATATTTACATAAGGTACGCAAACTTATGGCTAATTTGATGGGTACTTCGGACTTCTGTGTTGCTTAAAATGTAATTACTTCACTTTTTGTGTACTTGGAAGATGAAGAATGCTTTCCAGATGTGTGCAGTCCCGCTAAAAACGTAGCCGTCTGTTAGGGACAAAAAGAACACAAATAAGCCCGAAATTTGCTTTTGATGTAAATTATCCTGGCTACGAAAACGTAAGATCACAAAATGTGGACAGTTGTCACATACCAGTTTATTGTTTATCAGAAAACCTTTAAGCTTATTCTTAACTCTTGTATGCATGCTCATATTTTGCGCATGATTTTAACATTTTATTCGCTAATTAACTTGGAGATTCCGATTGAAGAGTTCGAGGGCCTGACGGAATAATAACACATCTTAGTGTAATCTGATCTTCGAAGAGGGAGATTTGACTTGATACCCATGCCAGAAATGTGTGGTCAGAAAAATGAAAATAAGTAAAATAATAATAATAATAATAATAATAATAATGTTGCTAAATATTACATTAAAATGTTTATTGACTCTATGAATTAAAACCTAAAATAGCATCAATTGTTCTCATTGAAACTAAAGAGTGATAACCGTTCTTGGATAACTTTTTAATAGGGCCTAGCGAGAGGAAATTTTGCTGCAAGATAATTCATCCCATGACCCTAGGTATAATTAAAAATATGTAGGATCCGACATATCTCGAGGTGGTTCTTCTTTTGTGTTTTCGAAATTTTCTTTTACAAAATTGAATTTTTAATACAATTAAATATGTCGAAAAGTGTTGTTTCTTGTTATGACTTAAAACAAAATTTGTAATGTTTTCTTTTACAAAACTGAATTTTTAATACAATTAAATATTTCGAAAAATGTTGTTTCTTGTTATGACTTAATTTTTTTTTTTTTTTTGTAATGTAAGCAAATAAGAATCTAAATGTATGTAAGAATGCTTCTTTAAGCATATTTCAAGTACACATATAGAATACATGCATTTAAGGCTCAGTAGACGTTAGTATTTATTTCTTTATTGGGTTCTGGAAGAGGAACAAGTTTCTAAAAAATAATTTTCCTTAGTTTTGAAATGAAATTAATTTACTTTTAAAAGCTGTAAGTTATTGTTGAAGGAGCTGAAGGATGACCCAAGTAATCTTAATCCATTTATTTGAACTCGCATAAGTATGATGATCACAAATATTGTATGCCTCGAGTTGATCAGGCCAAACTATGCTATTTGAATTTGGCAAAGCCGCGAGGAGTATTGCCTTAAGAGAAGAGATGCTTTCATGGAGGGCTTTCTGCGAAAAACTGGCTTTTATTCACGGTACACATGGGGAAAACGAAACATGCAGCCAGCCCATTAACCTGAGATCGAACTCAAAACAGGTCGAACCATCAGTATTCAGTGGTCTTAACCACTCAGCCATTGGTGGGGCTCAAATTGATTAAACTGTCAAATTGTATGAATTTTTGTTTTTATTGGATTTGACGTAACCCTTAGTTTAGTGGTCTCAGACTTAAATTACAAGCGGGCCGAATGCACTATATGAAAGGCCAAATTTTTTTAATAAAGTTTTTTTTTTTTTTTTTTTTTTTTTTTTTTTTTTTTTTTTTTTTTTTTTTTTTTTTTTTTTTTTTTTTTTTTTTTTTTTTTTTTTTTTTTTATTTTTTTTTTTTTTTTTTTTTTTTTTTTTTTTTTTTTTTTTTTTTTTTTTTTTTTTTTTTTTTTTTTTTTTTTTTTTTTTTTTTTTTTTTTTTTTTTTGTTTTTGTTTTTTTTTTTTTTTTTTTTTTTTTTTTTTTTTTTTTTTTTTATTTTTTTTTTTTTTTTTTTTTGTTTTTTTTTTTTTTTTTTTTTTTTTTTTTTTTTTTTTTTTTTGTTTTTTTTTTTTTTTTTTTTTTTTTTTTTTTTGTTTTTTTTTTTTTTTTTTTTTTTTTTTTTTTTTTTTTTTTTTTTTTTTTTTTTTTTTTTTTTGTTTTTTTGTTTTTTGTTTTTTTTTTTTTTTTGTTTTTTTTTTTTTTTTTTTTTTTTTTTTTTTTTTTTTTTTTTTTTTTTTTTTTTTGTTTTTTTTTTTTTTTTTTTTTTTTTTTTGTTTTTTTTTTTGTTTTTTTTTTTTTTTTTTTTTTTTTTTTTTTTTTTTTTTTTTTTTTTTTTTTTTTTTTTTTTTTTTGTTTTTTTTTTTGTTTCTTTTTTTTTTTTATTTTTTTTTTTTTTTTTTTTTTTTTTGTTTTTTTTTTTTTTTTTTTTTTTTTTTTTTTTGTTTTGTTTGTTTTTTTTTTTTTTTTTTTTTTTTTTTTTTTTTTTTTTTTTTTTTTTTTTTTTTTTTTTTTTTTTTTTTTTTTTTGTGTTTTTTCGAAATAAAAATCTTTAAACTAAATTTTAAATCTCACTTATTATGTATTTGCCAAAATACCCATAAACAGTAATAGTAAGAACTCTCTTTCATGTATTAAATTTTTCTTCGCATGCAGAAAAGATACGTACGTTTGTATGAAAAATTATGAACTTCTCTATTTCTTAGTAGAATTTTGATAAAATCTGTTAGCCTAAGAGAAAAATTATCATCATCTCGAATGCTCATCAGTCAGCCGTATTCTTTTCCAGGCGTATTAATTTTCACCTGCGAAAAGAGCTGTTCAAAAGACCGAAGAAAAATTCATTCTATCCGATATTTGAAGATTGGTACGCGCAAGAAATTTGTTTGTTATACTTCGTAATTCAAACGTATAAATATTAAATTTTCAGATTGACGTTTAGTTCAAATAATTCTAATACGTTGAATTAAGCACCAAATAACTTAATGTAATGTAAACTAAAATTTTAAAGTTGAAGAAAACTAGAGAACAAAATTATCCTGTGAAAGGAAGGCCTAAAGTGAAATAACGTTGTAGAGTCATTAGGTTAATTGGAAGCAGAAAAGGTGGAAAATATGCAACCGCCTTCGCCGGGAATCGAACCACGGACCTCTGGATACCGGCCCAGCGTGCTACCGTTACACCACGAAGGCACGCCAGGGAAGTGGCAGAAATACCTTATATACTCCCCTTTTTTTTAAAAGGGCGACTAGTCGCCAAATCCTGGGTGCGGAGAATCATCATCCACAACCCTTTTAGTTCGGGCGCCACTTGTAGAGTCGTTAGGTTAATTGGAAGCAGAAAAGATGGAAAATATGCAACCGCCTTCGCCGGGAATCGAACCACAGACCTCTGGATACCGGCCCAGCGTGCTACCGTTACACCACGAAGGCACGCTAGGGAAGTGTGAGAAATACCTTATAACGTAAGAACATTATTTTTCCTATAGAAGAGGTTTAATAACACGGCGAAAGAGAAAATGAGCCTTAAATTATTAACTAAAAATTTTCTCCTCGAATTGAGCGTTTTTTGCAGACTTTTTTTTTGTGTGTGTATACATGTGTGTTTTTGCCTGTATGATCAAGAATTTATTCCGCTTGGTTTATGGGAA